CTACGAAGAGAAGGGCGCAGGTAGTCGTTCCCATGGGAAACTAGCATAAGGTCCAGATAGTGGCCGCGCGAAGAATTCAACGTTTTGCGGGAAGCGCTAGAAAATTGATTGATTTAGATCAGCGGTGATTCACTAGCTTCTCACTTAGCAATGCGTATTCATGTCTAACAATGACACGTATGAGGCACGTTCCATGAAATCGTGCCAGCTCTCTTCATGATGTACACTCGCGAAATCAAGAACCGAACCTAATGTCACATGCATGTTTCATCGTTGTTTCTGTGTGTGATGTCCTGACAAACTGGTAAATAAACTGTCGAAAGAGGTACTGTGAAGTAAGATAAAAAGTTAAAATCGCTGATAACCTCGTTCGGAGCTGGCTCATGTTGGTTAGGAGGATTGGGAGCTTGTCCATTTAGGTCAAGAGGCATGTCGAAAAACACTACCATAGGCGAACCTGGCCCAATAGTCACAGGAGGATTCGCACTGAAAATGCAGTTTTGTTTCAAAACGTCCACTGGTACAATTATAACGTAACTTACTTGGAAGCATTGGTTCTATCAAAGTATATAGCTGCACCCTGTGCAGTATTGAGGTACAAATCGGGAGTTCTTCCTTGGTAGTTCATATCAGTTGTAATATGAATGCCAGGTAAACCTGGGGCGATTACCTGAAGTCAAACATGCTAAAATAATTCTCAAGAGTAAGCTGCTGTATTTGTGGCTATCCCACCTCATCTCACATCCCCCCTTGTCATCGCCCGCCCTGTTTACTTGAAAGTGACCCCTAGGCTCAGATCCCGTATTTAGATGTTGAAAATGATTGGAAATTGCCTGCTGGGTGTCAAGTGGAAGATTCACTAACCAGAGGAAGATTGCTAGGCTGCAAGAGGTTTTGCCCATCCACGTGACCAAGGAAACTGAAACATACGTCAGTTGTTAGTGGATACAACAATTCGGCAGAATGTCTCACCTGTGAGCTTGAGTGCCCTGAAGATTGTATCTGGTTCCGGCTTGGTGTGTGACATTGGCACTATGAGGGGCTGTTCCAACTCCATACGGATTAAGTACGGACTAAATGACAGTCACTCGTTCAGGACCACTGAGAATCTAATATGCTGAAGGACGATGAACGCGTAGAGCTGTTACTTCTGTACGGAGTCAGTAAAGGATTATCGATTCAAGATACTGCACATTACCACATTACCATTACCACAGAATGCTGAGTTATGGAAAAGTCTGAATCCAAACGGGATTCGAACCTCACCTCACGGCGAGTGCGCTATCCGTTACGTTACCAGAACCGCTCTTATCCTCTCAGCTTAACGGCTTACATGCATGCGCCTTACAGCATGTAAACACGTCCGTTTAACATTGATGCCGGTCAGCCGTAATCGGTTTGGCAATGAAACCCGAGAAGGGCCGAAGTTATTCTGGGGGCGGCGGTATGTGATGGCGGTTCCTTGTGCCGCTATATATGTGTGGCGGTGGCGCTTCGTATAAGTTGGGAAAAAGCCGTTCCTGCTGAAGAATCCCCAATGAAAATAACTCGGAAGGCCGTAGACTTACAATAATCCTGCACATTAGTAATCTAGGTAGAAGGCTCAGACAAAACAGTGAAGGGGCTATAAAGTGTAGTCAGTGAAGAAAAACAGGGGACCAGTCGAAAGTGCTCAACTCCGAGATCTTAGGGCTTTTCTGTGTCCACAGCGTGTGTTACTGGTTTCAACGCCAGCGTAATAGGTAGTGGGATCCGCCACCTTTCCTGCTCGACAGAACTCTTTCCCATCTTTCAGTAGTAAATCGCCATCTAGCACTAAGAACTGAAGCAGACGGGTAGAGCCGATGTTCGTAGGTTTATGAAAAAACCCTTAGTGAAGTGAACTTACCTGACCCGACTGGAATTAATTGCTACCAATGCAGCTGCACCGCTGATGAACTGACGTAGCGTCAAAACGCATCTTTAATGTCGAATAAGATTGCTTCTGATGGCAAGTGAGCCTTTTCAAAAGAGGTATTCAAGGTCAGCAGAATGAGGTGTCGTGAGCGCAGAGGCGGCAAGCAAAATCGAACCAACCCAAAGGAACCATCCCGACGGAGACACACGACAACGCGTCCGACGAGCTGACGCGCGGCCTGCCCAGATAGCTTTAACAGGGCCCAATGCTAGTCTCTCTTCTTCGGCTTTCAGGTAAGCTAGGCCTCTCGAGCCCCAAATAAAAAAACAAATAAGACGTTTCTAAAGCCACTATTACTTCAAAGAGACCACTCCTGGCTTCCTGACTTCGAATTTCCAAACTTCCGAAGGAACTTCACTTCCGGACCAATTGAATATGACGTCGTTGAGCTCAAAATGGCTGGCTGAAGATCAAAGAGTTACCTGCTGAATATAAGGTTGATTGTGATTCATTGGTTGATTCTGATTCACTGAAGTTGGTGGTGGTGCCTGTCTTTGATCATTCAGTGCTAGAGCGTTTCTGAAGAGAAAACCCATGATAGCTGACAAATGGATTGACAGTCCAGTTGGACTGAAAACGCATAAAGCAAGAAGTTCTATATCAGTCGATACTGTATTGGTGCTGTCTGCCTATAAAACGCAGGTTGTGGAGGATTCGTGGTGGTCGTCGAAGTGGTATAATGAGCAGAAGTAGGCGGTAGACTAGTATAGTGTAGAGCCTGAAACCCTTTTTTATGGCACAAATGGTTTAGGTACGAGCAACGCAGAACAAGTTGATAGAGCATTTTTCGCTGACTCAATCAAAGGAGCCGCCAGTGCCACTATGAAAAAAAAACTAATTACCTGGTAATTAGAGGCCGAACTGACCGCGATTGGAGCAATTGTTGTTGACTGGTTCATATGGATATTGTCCCTAGGAGGATTTTTGCATGATGATAATATAATAAAAATAGTAATAGAGTAAAACTGCTCACCCGTTGTTGTTTTGAGCGTGATGAGGAGCCCAGTTCATCTGTGGAGGATTCATTTGCGGTGGATTCATTT